CCGGCGGCCATTTTGGAAATTTCGGTTTTTTTGAAAATCTAACGTCAAATTCGTTTTTCTCGTGTCAAAATACCCCTGCATACCGATTTTCGCGCAAATCCATCGACAAATAACCGGTGTGAATTTTTCCCCATTTTGAACTTTAACCGACCGCCATTTTGAAACGGTTTGAGATATTGACTTCGGGTTTGCTCGAAAAGTTTTCTTTTTTTATGCTCTTTCGAACGAGCTATCACAAAGGGGGTCTTCCCATTTGAAAATTAAAAGTTGGGGGCCGTTGCCCCCCAAGGGGTGCCCCCCTGAAAATTTTAGGGGGGCCAAAAAGTAGCTCCCTTTGACCTAAGAATATCCTACAAGTTTCAAATCTTTACCTCAATTAGGTAAAAAGTTAAAGGGGGTGGAAGGGACTTTTGGATCACCCTGTATAGAATGTCGCGACCAGGCTACTAGAGCATGTTTTATGGATCAAAATGAGACTTCCTTCCTTTTTCTAGTTTTTTCTCGAAAAATGCTCGCGTCGCGGCGCTAAGAATCCCCAAATTCAAGTAATAACAGGGGAATTTCAAGATATTCTAGTTTGTAAGATCTTGGACCCTTCAAGGTAGAAAATTTACATTGGCAATGAAGGTTGTATTTGTAGAGCACTGTTAAATTGGGCGAAAAATGATCTCGGAAACCGATGTCGGGGCCGTAACTTCAACTCCGACAGGGAGCTCCAACCCACACTACAACTTCGTCCTAACTCCAACTGGGGGCACTTTTGAAACATGTTTTGACCCAGAGAACGAACTTCCGTAACCCACGTTTAACTCTAAAACACCCTCTGGAGGCAACACTTTCACGTGCTCACCTCTAGAATGCCTTAGTTGAAATTTTCAAATTTATTTGGGGTTTTGCAACAAGCAGTAGCTTGTTCAAAAAGTTCGTTAAAGCAAGCACTTAGTCGACACTCGATTTTTAAGTTCAAAAGAAGGATGATAATCAGATAAATTCTAAGTTTTAGGAAAGGTAAATTTTGCCGTATGGACGTTTTCAAGGATGTGTATGCCTCTTTCTTCTGTTAAAAATTAAAGGAAAATATTTGTATCAAACGATCCTCGTATTCCATTCTCATTGTCAAATCTCGTCTCGGTGACTCCTCTTTACTTCCTCTCCGAGTTTGGTTTTATTCCACAATAGGCCATAGAGGAAAATAATTAATGTTAGGAAATTATGCAAGCATGAGGTCTACGTTCCATTTTAGTGTCGTATAAAGTTGGAGCACTTAGGAAAATTTGATGGCCTAAAGCACCCGAAAGCCCAACCAGGAAGAACTGTCACACATCAATGTGATACAAAATCAATGATACGGGTGCCGTTTCTGAGTGACTTCAGAGCACTTATATATCATGCCATTCACTCATATCCATTATAACTCTACGTGCTTTAAGCTTTTTATGAGCTGAAAGATGATTTATGAGTATTAAAAGCTGAAAAAGTTACTAAAAATTGACTTTTATCACGAATGCTGTGATTGACGTTTTCCTGTCGGGGCTTCGGGTTGATGAGGTGCATACTTTTACTTGATTGAGCAATAGGAGAGCAGACAGACGACTCCCATAAGTGATCACCCCTCTTGTTATGAGCAATGTAGTAATAAATCCAATGTATTTCAACAAGGAATCTAGTTTCACCTTTCATTTTGTTTTAAAATGCTCCTTTATTGACCCACTTTTTCTTCTTCGCTCCTCATAGGTTGATTAGGCCTGGTCATATAGGTCATTAGGGCCTTTAGTTTAATTTATTTCTGTTAACACTATTTTTTAGTTCTGAGTTTTTTAGAGAATCGTCTTACTAGGGCACATTTAAACTGAAGACATATTGCCTTTTATTTTTGAGTAGCCTTCCAAATTTTGTTGAGCTTGAAAATAATACCTTGCAAAATTTTTGTTTAATGAAGCATTTTTATGGATCTGAACTGAAGCAGAAAACAAAGATAACTTCGTGGCATTATTCAAACCAAGAGGCAAAAGAAATGAGGAAACAAAGACCCAATCTCACAGAGAACAAGTATTTTCCTCGGTTTTTTTTAATAGAACCTATCTTTTAAATCGGAAAATTTCGATACCTACATTCATGAGGAAATAAGGCACTGTATGACTGTATCAGTACTCGATAGAAGGCAACAGAATAATCGAAATCTTTCAGAGAGAGTGTATGTGAAGAGCATTGCATTACTATCAGGAGAAACGTGATTCCTCTGATATCCATATTTAAAAAGAAGTTTTCCTTACGTGATATTTTGGACTTGATAGGGAGAATAATGGATCCTCCAACTTGATCTAAAACCATAAAATAAAAGAGCCGCCCGAATATTTTTTTCTTTGCTTTCTCAATGTACAAATTTATTATTTATTCCAAACTGTAATACAGTTCTCATTTTAAGTGGAAATATCATAACATGCCCTTTTGAGTGTAAAAATACTTTCATTTTTTGATGTGAATAATGTATGTGAAATACTTTAATAAAATGTGCGATAAATGAAACATATGAAACACTTTGATCCCCGCTTTTACTTACAACAAAAAATATTTGCACTCATGAGGAGAATGTACAATTTATTCGGTAGTTTTTGCCTTGACGAGTTCCTATCATGTGGATGAATAAATGAACGGATTTCATGATTTTGAGGAAGCAGAAAATACTCAAATATTTCAAATTTGTTATAATACACACTTTAATCTTTAGTTATTAACAACTTCATATAATAATCTCTATACAATCATTTATATACAGTTCATTATGATAAATCTATTATTGAAAGTTAAAAGAAAGAACAAGCACATTCTATTCGTTAACAGGTATAAAAAGTTCAGCCGATTGTGCAAAAACAAAAATAAATTAAAAAGGTACATTGATTTCTATGTAACATTTTTATTTAAGTTTTATCGATAAAGACATAAAAGACTATTCTAAAGGATTTGTCGACTAATTTTCCACTCGAATTCAAAGTTGCTGTAAATGCTAAAAATATAATATAGCCTTCAGATGAAGAGTGTATCCAAAATTTGCAGATTTTCTAGAATAAGTATCACAATTGATTGCATCGTTCAGCAAATGGAAGAGTAAATACTTAATCGCATATATGAAAAAGGAATACTAGAAATTTTTTGGCATCGCTGTATATTATAGTACATACCAAAAATTTTAGTGTAAAAATTCTGCGTATCCCATAGGACTTACTCTTCATTTATCAGCCAGTAATTTTAAGTTCCGGACGGAAATTTTAGAGATCATGGCAGAAGTTTAGCCAGACATCTTTCGATGCGTTTGGAGGGGAGGTTTTATACCGAAGGTGAACAAATCCTATGCAATTGAATAAAATACCTTCTTTTTGAAGGGGGAATTCTCCGGTCATGGGGGAGTATCGACCCCCTCCTTTGGCTACGTATCTGTCTCGAACATTTATTCAAGTGGAAAAAGGGTGAATCAAAATCAGGTAACAACAGTTCTAAACTTTTCACAAGGAAGTTTATAATGTGTTTGCATTAAATCCTATATCCTTATGTACAATTTTTGGCGACAGCTAATATACATGGAAAAGAACACGGGGAAATAACGTGTCAGGTAAGTACTTGGAAAAGTAGCTTGGATTCGGAGTATCCGTATGGAATTGATAGCGTCGACGGCACTCCTACTGTCGGGAAAAATATGTTGAGAGCAATTGATGCGTTCTCTAGACGTCTTACTCATTATCTACGGTGTAGATAAATTTTTGATAAAATATAGAGTAGATGAAAATAACGAATAACGAAATACGTTGTCATGTCAACTATGTCAATGAGAATACTCACTACTTATTCGTGAAAATTTTAAAAATATTGCAACAGTTTTTAGCCGAGGTACAAAATTTTAAATTACACTCCAAAACTCTTTCGAAGCTAAAGTACAAAAAAATTAATTAGTCCTTCATAGCTTTTAATAACAGTGACCACTTCGTTTTTCAATTCAACGAATTGTACATCGTGCGTGAGATTGCCGTATATTCTTCTCAACATAGATTTTATAGAAGTAAATTAAAAACAATAACAAGAAATAATTCGACTCCATTGAGGACCAGTTTCGCCCTTGATAAAATAATAACTTAAAGAAGCAATTGGATTATGAGATACTTTAAATTCTAAAGTACGGGTAAACAGAACAAAATTGCTTGCTTAACTCACCGGAAAATCGAAGGTCGTTCCCTGTACAATGTTGAGATCTTCAAAAAGCTACAGCTAATTGTAAAACTTGACAGCATGACTGCCAGATTGTGCAAAAATCCAGCGCTTTCTCAGGAATCAATCAATGTAAATTTTGCGAATTTTATCACACAATCGGGCAATCTAGCTTAATCGGTCTACGGTAGACATTTGATGCCTCCAAAAGTAAGACCGTAATTTTATTCATAAAAATTCAACGAAACGAAATAAAAAAAAACAATAAAATTTAGCGATTGCACATCATTTGGGCAACGCCCGGAAGAAATTCCCACGCTACCGGGCGTATTGGGAAAATTTTTGAGTCAACAAAACGTTCATCCGAAATAGACATAATTTGTCCTAATTGGTCCTAATGGGTTCGGATTTTAACGAACGCTGCAATAATTTGGAGGAGGAAGAGATTGAAAAAAAAAATCCACCTACGCCCCTAACTGAAACCAATTTTTCTGATGGTAAGAGGTCACTAAAATACTGCCGTGCTAAGGAAAAACGCCGTATGAACATTCAGTCGTTGCCAAATATCCTTTGATAAAACACAAATTTCCTGGTAAACTTACGAATATTTTCCCTCTAATTTTTCAGATAATTTTGATCGCAATTTCACTTAAAGTCCAGAAAATTTCAAGGAAAAATATTCATAACTTGCCTCAAAAATAAACATTTTATCGAAGAAAATTTGGCAACTCGCGAATGTTCATACGGCATTCTTCATCAGCACGGCAGAATACGTCGCTCCTCTGACGTAAGGGCGTATCTTCATTGCCACGTGAGCCCTGTTTTACATATAAATCCATGCTTTCTGGGGCTCATGCGGAAATCGAGATACGCCCTTACGTTGGAGGAGCTGATACAGTGTTATGGACAGTCGGCAGCAGAACGTTCGGTTGACCCGACGGAATTGTTCGGTTGGCCTACCACCAGGTTCGGGGGACCTGGGGGTGCATGAGAGGGTGCGTGTAGGACGGGAGAACCAGTTGGTCGGTCTTGCTCCCCGAATTCGTGCACGGTTTGCCGTCTCGAACCAGAACCGGGACGGTGACTCGTCTTGGTGCGGGCACGCTCCCTGCCGAATGGTGTTCCACGTGGAGGCCTTTTTCTTGCTGAGCCCGCTTCGTCTTGTACCTGTAACAGATCAAACCACCAAATGAAAAATTGCAGTCCTCAATCATACTACAGCATTGAGCAAAGGGGGACGAGTTTAGCGGATTGGGAACCAAGTTGTTTGACAACCGAGTTAGTTGCTTGGAGGAATTCCATGACCATCAATTGGACCACATTTTGCATTATGGAACCACTATTTCTGGCTCATTTTAGAAACAACATACATGCAATTGGTTCCCGTGCCCAGAAAGGTGCTTTTACAGAGGAGCCAGAGATAGTGGTTCCATATGGCGAAATGTAATACAACTTGTAGTTGCTCTTCTCTCTAAATTGATTTCAACGATAGGAAACCTGGAAAAGAGCTTATTTCCTTTTGGTGCATTGATTTGACTATTTTGAATTCAAGATAGGGAAACCAACGTACGATTCTCATTCGGAATATACAAAAAAAAAATAAGGAGATAAGTGTTTACACACGAGGCATTTTACATTTAACGTTGGGATGATATCCGCGAAGGCTTTGACTTCCTATCTCCCCTCCATCCTCCGACTTTTTTTATTAATCCCCATTCAAAAAGGTTGCAACCTGCATGATTGTTCGCCTGAAATGAAGTTCTAGTTTAAACTTCTATATTTTAACTGGAAAAACGCATCTCGAGTGCTGTTATGATAAAGATGAAAAATATGGAAATGTATACCATTTTTGACCAGTTCCCAAGTGTTTTAGTTCGCTTTGCCTCTCGCTATTCTTCTCAATCATGCATGGTGACAATTCTTTACTGTAATTAACTTGTTTCTGTATTTTGTTTTAAGTGCTTGCTGAAGATGGGCTAAGCCAGAAATGCATCCAAGCCAATAAACCTTATTCAACAATATACGTGTTTTGGTATACATTTTTTTATTTTTTATTTATATATTTCCTCAATTTTTATTTTTTTCTTTTTAACTGAGTGCATATAATATAAAAATGTTGGTGACTGACCTGTGGTTCTGGAACCAGATCTTGACTTGCGTGGGCGTGAGCCGGATGATGGACGCGAGGTGTTCCCGCTCGGGGGCCGACAGGTAGCGCTGCTGGCGGAAGCGGCGCTCCAACTCGTAGGTCTGGGCCTTGGAGAAGAGGACGCGGCGCTTGCGCTTCTTGTGGCCGGCGCCGGCGCCCTGGGCGGAGGCCGAGGAGCCGTTGGACTGCTGGTTGAGGGCCTCGTCGTCGGCGTCGTCCTCGCCATCATCCTCGAGTTCCGTCTCCGTCTCGGCCTTGAGCCCGCTCATCCCCACCGACGAGGAGTCCGCGTTCAGGAGGCCCGGCGTGCTCCCCGAGTCCGTCAGGTCGGCCACCCCTGGTGACGTCGAGTCCGGCGAGGCTTGCTGCTGCGGGTGCGGCCCGAACGCTGCAACACAAAAAAAAGTCATCGTTAATAAGCTGATTAACTGACGTGGATTATTAGCACAGTCTGCCGACGGACAGTGGATCGAGTCAATTATGATAGGTCGGACAAAATTTGGAAACTTACAAAGCTTATAACTCCGCCTATACGAAATTTTGAGGTTCTAAAAGTGGTTTCATTGGTTTCCTCGTGAAATTGTCCTCTTGGAACACCCCTTACAGTTTGAAATGTGACGAAATAAACATCAAATTTTGCAGTTTTAGTCAAAAATTTCATGTCCATTCTGTCCAATCGACTCGATCCACTGTGCGACATCTCGAGACGGGACCCAAAGAATACGTTAGGCAGTGAAGGTGAAAAGTAATATCGATCACGACGTTATGTTCAAGCAGTTAGTGTGGTATGAACATGTGCAAAAAATGATTGACGAGAGGTTGTCCGAACAAGTTTTGGATTGGATAGCCCCTGGAAGAAGGCGATAGGGACGTCCCATTAAGAGCGATTATGGCAAGGCACCGACCAAGAGAAAGAAGTTGCATCGTCAGTTGCCCGATAATCTTCGGGAAGAAAGGGACATGTGGGGTTTGAGAGTCGTATATAGAGCACCAAAGAGCGCTGTAAAAGCGCCGTAAATTCATTCGATCAACAAATTCCTTTCAATTTTTCCCGCCGCAGTATGGTAAATACTATTTTCACTGTAATATTCTTCAAACTCTATAGATAGTGCTCATTTGAGCCTTATGAAAACCATGTAATAGTCTGAGGACGAAGAGATGGATCTGTCAAGGTGGTTGAAAGCCCCTCAGGATCCAAAAATACATTTTAAAAGTCACGTAGACACCAGAACATCGTTAAATAAAAATACAAAAAATCAAGTTAAAAAGAGTACCTAAACAGTAAGTCTCTGGGGCGGAAAAGCACTGACGAATGGATCGTCTGTTGCACCCCAGAGCTCCTGATAGAGGCAAGATCGGGGGGGGGGGGGGGGGGGAGGGAGGAGGTAAACGTAAAAAATCCCCCCGAACGACGAGCACACAAAAAACATCCATCAATGTGCAAGATCATCCCTTGTAACCAATAGCCCCCACAATGGTGGCCGGGCTACGGGAGATGATCTCGAGAGAGGGCGAGAGGGGGAAATTACACGCAGTTTAAAGGAGCGAGATTGAATGGATTTACACGAGTGCATCGGAGGGGCGGGGCGGAGGGACTCGCACTGCAAGTATTATGAATGTATATGCGAGATACATAACGGCGCGAGAATATATTCCGAAAACAGAAACAGCTGTTCTCGTCCTGCTGGTCGAGGGGGCCCTCAATTTGCGATCGAAAATCACGAGGGTGAAAAAGAGACAACGACATTCCGGGTGCGTGAAGAGGGAGAGAGAACGGGGGACAGCTGGGGCTTAGCCGTGAAACCGCCGCCAATCCCTTGCCAAGGGAGGAGCAAAACACACAGATTCTTCTCTCTCTCTCTCGTGCTTAAAGCCGCGATCATATAAGTTTAGAGAGAGAGGGGTCTGCTGGGCGTGATTTGTCATTTTCGACGGTCTCTTTGAGGGCCATTGTGCCTAAATGACAATCGAATATTTTTTCAACGAGGCTAAGATTATGTAGGGAGCCTCTCCAAACAGCCATCGGAAATCGAGAAGAAAACATTCCGCGGAATCGTGCGTCTTATTGTTGTCATTGTGTAATCTTGATGGAGGATTGTGTTTCCGGGTTGTCTGAGCCATGCAGGAGCGTTTAATAAGAGTTTCAACTTTGACACCCGGCTGCCGGGCCATTGTTCGGCGGCTTGTAAACATGCGTTACACCCGCACGAGGCCGCTGTTGGAAGGTGGCGATGCCTCCAGGAGGAGGGAGGATCGTCTTAAGGAAAAGCTGCGACGGGTGTGTTGGATTTACACCTCAGTCGAAGCAAAGAGGGCCGGTTCAAGGAAGATCCATCTCTGGCCTTGTATAAATCATGTAATCATGGGTTGCAAGGAGCAAAATTCCACGGTCAATAGACGAATTGAACAAAGTTTTTAGGTAGAGTAACCAAAGTTTTCGGCCACAGGAGGCGAACTTCGGTTCAGCTGATATCAAAATACAGTTCCAATGACTGAAAACTTTGGTCACTCGAACCGTAAAACTTTAGTGTTCAATATGAACCACATCAGGCCGAGTAACCGAATCTTGTTTCTCGGTATGTATGATATGTAAGCATTTTTCAGCGCTAATTTGAAAAAATTCAAAAGTATACTTCCAATTAAGTGAAAAAGCCCATGTAAGTACTAGCACCAATTTTAAGAATACTTTTACATACTTTTATTCCTTACAACCGTTTGAAAATAAACAAATATTCTAATCAATTAAAATGTTCTTCTTTTTTCTAGAAATATAAACGCAATGGGATGTTTTTCGCGTTGGTTATGTCATCCTTCGAGAAACAGCAATTTTTACTTATGTGCAACTTTAAACCCATTTTGAAAGAAATTGTCGTGTGCAAAGAAAAATCGTAACATGTTTAAATCTGCAATTTTCACGCAAATGTCAAATTTGCGAGAAATGGATGAGTGCACAAAAAATTATGATGTTCTTTTTATTTTATTTTATAAATCTGATTTAAAGAATTCCCAAACATCACTCCCAAAAATTGAGCCTCGCTTGATCTGTAATGCTATGCTATAATTTAAAAATCACAAATAGGCTAAGAAATACATTTATGTCTCGACTACATAACCAACGAAAGCACAAAAAATCACTCCACTCTTAAGCAGTTTTGCTCCTGAGCGCATGTTAATTAATAGTTTTGTCTCTCGCTTCCAACCAAGCAATTCTGCAAATATTTCTTTCCCGAACATAAATCCCATTTATCTTTCAATTTCTTCGCGTTTCCTCTCTTCTCCGTGGGGCACCACAAGGAGCTCGAGCTGAAACCTGGCTTTCCTCGAGGAAACTTCCAAATCAACGTCAGAAAACTCCAATTTCCCACAAACCGAAGAGCTTTTCCGCAGGGGGCCAGGCCTACCGCGCTCACAAACCTTCCAACTTCAAAACTTTAAAGCCCCCGACACGACACTTGGGGCGAACTTTTGAAAGCTCGACATACCGCCGAGGCAGCGAGCTTAATTGAGCCGTCTGAGCTTTCAGCGGTCGGAAATGCGCCATCAGCTAACTGTTGATGGTCGGGGCGAAAGAGCGCGGAGCGGAGGGGTGGAGCAGGGATTAATGATGGTGGAAAAGTGGATCTACATAGCACGCCCTAGCGGTCCTGAACTAGGCTAAGTGGATTATCCAGTCCGGTCTGACGTATCCACCCAAACCCCTCACAGCGAGGCTCCGAGGAACCTCTTCGCTACCCTTGGCCATAACAGTTTTATTAATATCCCTGCCCGATGGCTGTAGAGAGAGGGATGGATCTTCCATGTCTCATTTCAGGCTGAGCTTGAAAGGATTGGTCTTGTGAGATTTTCATGGCCCCTGGGCCTCCAAACTTCATGCGCTGTGCCATGGCTGAAAAGCTCTTCACTTTCCCTCACTTTTCCCCGTTAAGTTCACCTAAACGCGGTAAAACACGCACCTAGACACAAATATCTTGATTTTTTAGGTTTATCGATTCGAAGGTCCTCTGTCCATGGATGGTCGCATAAGGTGTTTTTCTCTCGGACGCTCTTTGTATGTTTTTTTTAACCCTTGTTGTGATAATAATTTTTAATTTCTCTCTCCTCTTTTTTAGGTAGAAAACCCAGTATTTTACCAGCATTTACGAAGTGTATTACCACTTTCTTGAGGTGAAAAAATAAGCAAAAATAGTTCACTTAAATCCTAGACGTGAAGAGAATAGAACTTTCGCTCCTCTGCCTTGCACGTATTAGCAGCCACGGATGGGAAGGGTGGAATGGCGCTTCTTCTTAGCAATTAATGAGAGAAAGAGTGAAAATGGAAGATAAAGTCAGACAGAGTATTAAGGAAAGGTGGGCGCAGGAAGTTTCAGTTTGAAATAATTATTTTCCCGGTCGGGACCCAAACGGACTGCTTATTTCCTTTCTCCGACTTCTTTCATGATTTGTGCTGTAAAGTAAAAGGGGCTCGAAAAGTGGGCAAGCCAAGCGCGGTGGCATGGCGCCGAGTTCTCATATTTTCGTTTGCAATTGGCCGGAACATGAATTGATTAGCCAGCCGTTTCAGTGACTTGAAGTTGGGCTGAAGTATACAATTTAAGCCTAGCCCCTTCAGCCGGAGCATCGGGCACGGAAACCTATAATTCCACCCGGCTGAAGGCTAATAAAGGCTAAATTACAACCGGGCATGGGAGCGGATCGAAACCAATTGCATACAATGAAATTATTACCGGCTGGCAATGATGTCGAATCGCCCCCGCGTCTTATTAAGAAACAAATCGACGGTGAGATTCCCAAACCGCGTAACTCCTTTGAGGTGTTTCAAAATCTCCGCTCCTTTTTTCTTGCTTCCAAGGAGAACATATCAACATCATTCCTTAAAATTTTCACAGAATTTTCCTCGCACAGTGAGGAAAACCACGGTAGTTTTTGAGAAGCAATGCCGTCGAGTGGTTTTCCATTGAAACATGTGCGGCAGGAAGTCTGCAACATCGCAAACCGAGGTACGTGGTTTAGGAGTTTCATCGACGGGCATTTCTTTCAGGAGTGGTAGTTAACGGGAAAATGGTGGAAATCTTGTACGACGAATTTTCTCCTATGGTTGTACATAGGTTTGTTCATTTTTTACCTACGACCTAATTTTATGACAATGTTTTGGAAGTTATTATTTATTACCTCTGCATTGGCTCTTATTTCCTTCCTCTTTACGTCTCCTTCAAAACAAAAAAATTTCAGCTCTAAACGTCAAAAGCCATTTACTACGACGATTTTTGAGCCTCAATTGAATTCACGCCAACATTTTTGAAATTTATTTTTTCCAGCATGCAGTGGTGAGAAAAGTTTAACTTTGAGTTATTAGAGGATACAATTTTTTCTGTCGTCGATTTAAACAGATTCAACTGTTTTTTTTTTCCATATTTCCAATTCTAGCGCGTGGGTTTTTTTAGAATGGCCGATTCAAAATTGGACGTATTTCCGCCAAACGGAACTATGTGCATTATGGCGTGAGCCCTGTTACGCATATATCCTTATGGATCTCAGGGCTCATGTCTTAATGTACATACTTAGTTCTGTTTGGCGAAAATACGTCTAATTGTTCAAAACTTTCCTAAAATTTGAGAAAATTAAATCCCCTTGGTTTTAACCCTTAATTCTCCGACTCATATTTCACGACACAACGAGAGAATTCCAACGTTCCCGCAAGTAAAATCCCTATATGCATTTACTCGGCAACCCTGTCGGGGAGGCTTTTCGTTTAGCGGAACCCTTTTTCGTGGACGAGGAACGGGCGGGCACGGAATGGCACTCTAGCATGGAAAGAGCCTCGACGATAAGGACTTTTTAAATATTATATTTAACGTTTCCCGTTTTCAATTCGTGTCTCTTTGTAGGTACGGGCCTTTCCGAGCACTTGAGCCGGCACGCCATGTCGATACCACATCCCCGTATGTCTGTGACGTCACTCAGGGAGCCCCTCGACCCGCCCGATTTGAGGTTCCAAGTGAATCCACGTCGAATTTCAACGTTTCTGATGGATGTACTTCTTTTCCCCCGATCATGCTAACTTGAGCCCTTCCGTCAATCTTCGAGAGAGTCGATGTATGAGCGCTCAACATGAATATACGTCAGTACGTCACTCTTCGGAGATCGGAAAATTGCCCGGAAATATGCACGGATATTGAACTTCGCAAATGAGTGCAAAATATAAGGTATTTTGATAAAAAGGCCACTGAAATTAAAATCATCAGTAAAGTTTATCCTTAGATTTTAATTTTTCCGTTTCAAGAAAATGCTTCGTTTCCAGAGCCGAACCTTCCTCAATTTGAATTCCTTTATGGTCACAGACAACTGTATTTCTGGAGAAATAGAGTATGAATAATTTTGTTGGTGTCCCTGTATTCTTACATTTTTCAGATAAAAGTAAAAAGTCTGGAATAGAAGTTCAGTAGTTTTTGTTTGAATAAGAAAACTTACTTCAACCTAACGTGTATAAGTAATTGACATATTCCGATTAAAATTAACGTGAATTAAAAAGCGTTTTAATCAAATAATTTTAATATCGTTTACTGATGCAAAATTTCATTAATGGGTGCTTAAAAAGTTCATAACCTTTCACGTGCTTTAAAAACCAACTAGCATCTAAGTGAATATCATATTATGAGTGACTGCTAGTAAATCAGAATCCGCCATTTGACTTTTTAATACTGCTGATGATTTTGTATTCCGTGCTTGTAGAACACGGACTCACATGATGTGCAATGAAGTTTTCTGATTATTCGTTCAGAAAGTACTGCTTTCCGAGGGAATGTAAGAGTGAATCGTGTTCTAGGTGTGTACATGTATTATTCACTCACTATTTGTGTAGAAAAAAAAGAGCTAACATCAAACAGTCTTGATCACTTAATTTACTGCGAGGTAAGTTCGCAAACAAAAAACACACATCCTCGGTGGGATGCTGCGCGGAGGCTGTGTTCTGCGGCCTACCTAAAAAATTGAAGGCAAATTTGCGATATGCGTAACTTCAATTACCCTTGCCGAAGCAATTCTGCCTTCTAGAGCTATTTAGTCAGCAAACATTTCAACTTCATGATGGCAATCGCGATGTAAACGTGAGTGGAAATAGAGGTCCGTAAAAGGACCGAGGCATCGTCGCTACTTTGCACTGGCGGGAGTTGGGAGCGGGTCAGGGTGCGAGGAAATTTATGGGAGCCCAAAAGCAGATGTTCTGGGAGCTGGGCCATCGTTTGATCATTTGATGGATGAACAAGAGCCAGTAAGGCGATGATAGGGCCAGATTCAATTCCCGCCGCCACAACCCCAAGCGCGAGCCAAATCGTCCCACCCCTTCCACTCGCGCCCTTCGCCCCTCTCTTCAGCCGTTGCCAAATATCCTGGATACTTATCATTGCTGAAAGCTTTCAGGCCCTTCAAATTTCATCTCTTCTAGGGATCTATCGGATCCACATCCGTGATTCGACGGTCTCTACTTTGGGGCGCGGGGCGTCCATCGAAGCTTGCACTGCGCAGTGACCAGAATAAGACCCCGTGTGTCCCCTCAGTTATAAAACAAGTATAAATTAACGCAAATTGCAGAGAATCTTGATTTCATACTTAAATCCAGGTCTGTTTCCGCCCCTCCCCTTCCTTTTTGACAGAAAAAATCAAGAGCTTTCACAGAATTTGTCCAAGAATGTCGCCGAGTTTTTATAAGGGCCTCTAACCACAAACACAAGATTTACTCCGGGCATTCGCAGACTTTTCTGGAAGTTTTTAAAAGAAAATTAAGAAAATATCGGAGCAAAAAATACTGTAATCAGCATTTTCAAACATTGCATACCAGTGCAACAATTTTCTAAAGGGCGAGGGAGGCTACCTCAAATAAATCACAAGAAAGCCTTAAAAAATTACCAAAAAAAAAAAAAAAAAAAAAAAAAAAAATTTGAAAGAATTGAGGTCCATCACGAAAGTCCCCACGACTCGGAATGCGGAATCACTAACCCATTAAATTACACCCTGGCCAACAGTGGCGAGGCGTGAATTGCGATCTATCGATTGTTATCCCATTTAAACCTATGGAAAAGGATCGATAAGTAGGGTGTTCGCAGCGAACACCTTGATAATCGATTCTTTACCATAGGTTTAAATGGGGAAATACCGATAGATCGCAAAGCACGCCACGCCACTGAAATTACACCCTGGCCAAATACTTACATCCGTTAAAGTCCGATTTTTCACGATAATTTTAACACCCTGAGAGTCAATCGCAGAATCTACGAGGATATTGTTTTTCGCGTGTGATTCGACAACGTCGCTTCGTTTACAGCCACTCTCCTTTGTTTGATTTTACAAGGCACTAAAGCACTCGCAGGCCCCAAAATCTGAACTTTGCCATCGTCTTTTGTTGCGATTAGTGCCAGGCCCCGTGTTCGTTTGAGAATTACACCTATCTTTCCCCCATTTTGCTCCTTCCCCGCTCTCACGAGGGCGGAGTCGGGATATTTTGGTCCGAACGCCTTGTTAACTTGCCAATGTACATCTTCTTCTTCGCGGGGTGTCTTTTGATTTGTCTCACGATGGTTTACACGAGCCTTGCAAAAGTCTAGTGTATATATCTTTGTTGTGTGGATTATGAATTGGAGATGCTCGAATCATGCTGAGCTTAAAGATCACGGTGAGGTGGAATGAGGTGAGAAAATTTCAAGTACCGAGGAAGGGATTAAAAAACTTCAGCCTGCTTAAAAGCTGGCAGTGGAGTGATAATTTCACAAGTTCGCTGCACCAAAATATGGAAACGAAGCTATAAAAACACCTATGAGTATCTGGAGTATGCCGAGAAAAGTAGTCCTTTATTTATAAAACTGGATTACTCTCTCTGCGCTCTGGTGTTATTGGTTCGAGGCTGCGTATTTGGGGACTTTACTGCCGTGCTAAGGAAAAACGCCGTATGAACATTCGAGAGGTGCCAATTTCTCCGGATAAAACATGCATCTTTAAGGAAAATTACGTTTACATTTCCTTAAAATTATCGCACTGAAAAAAAAAAAACTTCGGCCGTGGGAACAGCAATTACGGGCTATATAGACATACCGTCCGTTCCAGGCTCAAAGGCCAAAAATTCCGGCTGCTGAAGGCGTAGCTTCGATCGCTCCAGGTTCAGAAGCCGAAGCTACGCCTCCAGCAGCCGGAATTTTCGGCCTTTGAGCCTGGAATGGACGGTATGTCTCTATAGCCCGTAATTGCGGCTCCCACGGCCGGAGTTTTTTTTTTTCAGTGCGGATATTTTAGATTAAATTGCGGACAAAATTGTCTGAAATATTTGAGGAAAATTCTTAACAATTTTCCCGGTGAATTCGTTTTTAATTGAAGGAAATATGGCAACGTCTGAGGGCTCATACGGCGTTTTCCCTTAGCATGGCAGTTAAAGACCACTTCCGTGGACGGTTACGAAGAAATAAATTTGAAATGAATGAATGCGTGGAGGAGGTACATACCTCTAAGTTCTGTGAGTGTCGATGCCCAATGATGTTGCAGCGCCGTCTGCGCATCTGTCGTCGTTGAAAGACTCCCAGGGAAGAGCAAACTCCCCGCCAATTCCGACCCTGTAAAAAATAAAATAAAACATAATTGGGGTTTTTTTTTCGGAAAAGAAAAACAATATCAATCCGATAACTGGATCGGGTGCAAATTCATTTTTGGACTCGTGTAGTGTGTGTAACTCAAAATGTATTGAGTTCATTTCTGTTTTCCGAAGGAAAAACACCGAATGATTCATGGTAGTTCGCCAAAATTTATCGATTAAAATATTCATGCTTGAAAAAACGACTGAGTATTCTTCAAAATTTTCGGAGGAACTGCAATCAATTGCAGTAAAAGTAATTTTTTGCGTAAAAGTATTTTTTTACATTTTGATTTACAAATAATTTTGTTTTCTTTTTGAAAAGTAGGGAAAACTTACCATTTGGTATGGCGGGGTCTGAATGATGCACTTTGCCATCGTTTAAATCTAAAATATCACTAATATGGAATCCAGAGGAGCGTGCTTGACCTCCGGTCCCTACTTTCATACTATCCAACAATCTGCAACAAACAAAAAAATCTGATCAAAATTTGGAACAAATTAACATAATAATTCAGATCGTCAAAAGACGAGGTATAATACATTTAGGTAACATAATATTTGTGGAAATGTTAAACAAGTTGTGGAAGAATTTTGGTAGAAACGTCTCGACGATAATAAAGTTAGAAAGACACGCTAATTTTTCATCGATGAAGTTCTAATGTCCTCTTTTAACCTATTATCCTATATATTAAAATGCAAAGTCCCGAATCTTGGGGCATTAACTTTGAGAGAACCACCGGACCGATTTGCATGGGATTTTTTTTAAATGAAAGCCCCTGAGCTGTAGATTTGCAGGCTGTGATCGTTTTTTTGATTTTCTCAAATTTTCTCCCATAATTTTCTAAAGTTGTCTTCGATGCATTAAAACGGAGGTCCGAATCTTTGGACGTTAACTTTGAGAGAACCACCGGACCGATTTGCATGGGGTTTTTTTTAAATGAAAGCCTGTGATCTGTAGATTTACAGGCTGTGGTCGTTTTTTCGTTTTTCTCAAATTGTCTTACTTTTATCAACGAGTGAAGTTTAGCTGGGCTCAAATTTTCTCCCATTTATTCAGACTAAAGTCCGCATTTTGGGGCATTAACTTTGAGAGAACCATCGGACCGATTTGCATGGGGTTTTTTTTAAATGAAAGCTTCTGATCTGTAGATTTGCAGGCTGTAATTGTTTTTTCGATTTTCTCAAATTTTCTTACTTTTATCGACGAGTAAAGTTCAGCTGTTTTGAGCGGTCATCCGGCCGCTACCTGCTTGCCCGTCCCTAGATACCCCCTCTAGGGTCTCAGCCACCCCTCCCACCACGTTCTTTCGGCTATCTCCGTTTTCTTTCGTATAGCTCTCCTTCCACCAACCTCAAAGAAGGAAGATTGGGTCGCATCGTCGTTCGTCAGTTCGTCACTCGCCACCCACATTCCTTCGCCATCCCTCGGCTACTCCGCCTCACAGCTTCTTGATATCCTGGCATCTTATTCTCTGCGGCTTGACTGACCCTGACTTATTAACTGCAGTATTGCGTATTGCTAACAACACGTATTGTTACAGACATTTTATTCATCATTATTAAGTAGATTCAACTAATTGCTCCCATTCCAATTAAGCTACTGCACCACCATTGCTAGCTGTGGAGGGCGCCCGTAGGGCGCCCGGAGCAGCTAGTTCCACATAAAATGTATTCAGATGCGTCAAGAAAAATGTCTTTTTTGATCGACATAGAAGTCCCTTTAATATTTGTTTCTCTAAAATTTGCTTCAGGGGAAACAGAGCATCTATTACACCTGCAGATTTTGCGGGCAGAGAGAATTCTGATCGTCCCAAGAAAATTTCAATTAACACGCTCATACGACGCTGTTATTAATCCACCTGGAAAATGTTCATCGTGCATGCTCATCAAATCAAGCTTGATATTTCAAATTAAAGACTTTCGTATGTCCTACACGAAAATAAAATATCGCTGGGAATGCATGTTTTTTAAATTATACTATAGAAATGTTACCATCTGTCGGGCATGAAATAATCATGCATAAATTAAGCGAATATGCCTTCTCTAAAATAAGTCAGGAGACTTACTTCATCCCTGTTAAACCCGCGGCCCACGTAGCAAATGTTAATACATTAAACGGAGGCATTACGATGGATTTAACAATTGAAAGCTTTAGGAAAAGCTACAAAAAATAATCGCGGTTGATGTAAGTGTTTATAGCTGCTATTTTTTTACGCTTTTAGGAGAGACACATTTCTAAATTAATTTTAAAATTCGCGACGTCAGTTAACGGTAAGGTAGTTTAAAGGAAATCTGACCCAGTTATTTAGTCGAATCGATGTCCTCAAGTCGGTCACGGACTTACGCGGCTTGAAGCCAAAGGATTTTAAAATACTACCTCTCTTCAAACCACAACAACCAGTAAAGATATTTTCTGCGCCTAGAATAGAGAAAATAGGCAACATACAGCCAATGTAGAAATCGTTCTTAAATTTCAGCAAAAATGCTCTAATTTCCGCGCCTTAAATTGAGAGGATATGCAACATGCAACTACGAGCAAAAATCGCAAACACGATCATTTACAGCCCACCGAGAGAAAAGTGAAGTTGATTTAACATTCTGGATGTAAAAAAAGTGTGCGAGAACTCACAAAATGCTAAATATTACCACTACGGCAGTTAGTTTTACATCTTGACATTGCTATAATTACTGCTGAAGGAGTTCATTCGGCAATTTGTAGGTTCTCGCACACTTTTTATACATCCAGAATGTTAAATCAACTTCCCTTTTTTTTCAGTGTATCTTCCAAACGGTATAAAAATCTATGAAACTTCCGATGAACGTGCAATATGTTTTGCTATGTTTAAAGCATCGGATGCTAGGTACTTGGGATTAATATATATTTCTGCTTTAATTTTATCGAGAGTATTTACTTTTAAAACATTCCCAGGCGGCAACACGGGTTTGAAGTTTGAAGGTCGCTTTACAGGTGTTATCAGGGGATCCTCCAGTTACAAGTGCCCGTTCGTCATTATGCCGGCGCTAATCCCTCTGATAAAGTCGAAATCACGTCGGATCGCTCTTAAATTAGGTCCCTGTTCCCTGCTCTGACCGCCAATGGCTTTCTCTCTCGAGCAGGTTGGGTCCTCCAGAGATTCCCAACATTAATAAATGAAGATGAGAGCCCAATTTCCCCCGAAATCCGAGCGGGAATAATTGGGTCGCTTGGAGTTTAATGCTGAAAAATCACGTTCCGGGCCCCATTCTTTTGATCCCGTTCTATGGCTCTTTCTCGGACCTGCCTCAATAACTTGTCGGTGAGGTGCGCCTTGAAAGAGAGGAAGTGGTTTCAATCTAGATTAAGCGTATTCTGGAGGGGTGATTTCAAAGTGCCACCCCCTCCTTACAAGGGCAATTTTTGAAACCTTGTGATACATTGTTGATGGTTCTAGGCTAGTCAAATGGCTCAGTTACGCTCAAAATCATAATTTAGTTCTATATGTAGCATGCAGTCAGCAATCGTCGGCAATTCGCAAGCGGCATTCATGCGTAACATGCATAACATACCAAATTGCGACAATTTATATCAACATAGCAAAGGTTTGATCGGTAGAGAGCCTCAAAGTCACAACCAAGGCGTGGCGCCTTCAAAACCCGAGTATACTCTCAGCTTTGCCTGGCAGTTAGTTTAGTTGCCTAACAGAAACCAAACCTAAATCCACTTCAAGTGCTCGTGAGTGTGCTGGGTGCTCCAATGCGTTTAAGAATTTGGGGGAAAAAACCTTTCGATGGAATTCTTAGCATAATTATACTTTCTACCTTGTTCCTTTACTCCTAAGGCCGTTGAGCAGCGTCGCATATCTACCATGTCTCAACAAAATTGTAATATGAAAAGGAAAGTGAGTCGAGACCGTAGGTTTTTCGCGAGAAAATATTTTTCATCCCGTGGGAAAAATTATCAGGTAGATGGCACCTAATACCTTCCACCAAATACACTAAAAAAGTATGTATAATATTAGAGAGAGATATTATAGAGAATGTTATATACTTTTAGATTGCCCTTAATTCATCTTAAAATTCAAATATTGTAAGGACGCCCACATAATGTTTTCTTAAGCGTACAAGTTTGATTTATTTTCCTTTTTTAGTGTATTTGGTGCAAGGTATTAGGTTCTACCTACCTAAGGATTTTTCCCACAGTATGAAAAATATTTTCCCGCGAAAAACCGTATGGTCTCGACTCATTTGCCTTTTCATATTACAATTTTGGTGAGACATGGTAGAAACGCGACGCGCTGGTCAACGGTCTTTGAAAAAGGCTGGAAAATATATTTTCCAAAAGAAAGGACAAGGAATTCGTCGCGGTGTCACAAAGGCATTTTTCAAAGCGTTGACAAACATTTCAATAAAGTTATGAATGCTCTGTTTTTCTCATGTTCCTTTGTGCCAACCTACCCCATTCACACAAGGGACATATTATTGTGCTCGTCCACTACCTAATCTGACAGGTGAAATGAAAATTCTCAATTCAAGGCCTTTCCAGGTGAATTTGCTTATGCTCCTCTCGAGTACTATTGTTCTTCGTGACGCAAATAACAGATATTTACCCCACATTCCCACACCTCACTGGCAATATTTAAAACAGCGCTGTCAATCAAACGCAATCAATTAGGCGTCCAGGTGAGGTGTGAGAACGCAGTCACTTTTTAAGACAAAGGGGCCAAAAATGAGGCAAAATCACGTTTTCGGCCCAAAAATCCGCCCGATCACTTTACACCGTTCGATATCGAGACCGTCTTCGTGCCTCTCGGCGTGGCACCAGGATTAGCTCACCTGAGCGATCGGGTCTCAAAGGCCGGTAAAAAATCGATTTTCTTCGAGAGGGCTCATTTTTTGAAGCACGTTTTCCTACTATTGTTGCGCCTGGGACCTTCGCCGCGGCGCGGTGTCCCAGGTCGAGGAATTTTGAGGATGTCAGCGTGAAAAACACCTTGTTCTGGTTTTCTCTGGAGGGCCTTGGCCATCCTGCTGCGGCATGGCCGAATTGGCCGAAACAATTAGCATTCCTTGGTTCCGCGATGGATATTTGTTGTCGATATGACAGCCTTGCTCAAAGGTTTGAAAAGGTGTCGCTGCGGCGAGGCCTTTGAAATTGACGCCTCTCTTAATTGCGGATTTCAGGTACGTGCCTGACTCAATGATGCACCTTTTCTCTTTGCCAACGATAGGCGACGTTGCCTGATTTAGTAGGGTAATTCTATCCTATTTTTAAATGAAAATTATTTCATTTTGAAGGATATTGCCAATTTCGTCAGTTTAGAGCTGATACTGACAATGAAAAAAATCGGAACTACACAACGGTTCTCGGTTCAGAGACAGTTTTTCGTAAACTACGGAAAATAATATTGGTGGAAGTAATTTTCCGATTAAAAGTTTAGTTATGGCAACGAAAGTTTCCCTCTTGCAATGCAATTTTTAG